CAGCCATAATTCTATTTTCACCTATGTACGGCGTCGAATAACAAGACGTAGCTGAAGCACCTATGAAACTTGAAGCAAGTTTTCTCTTGTCATAATATCATTGAAATAACACAAGAGACCGCTCTGTCTCCCTTTAATCGATTTAAAGAAAGCTTTTGACTTAGTTGAAATAGGAGCAATCGTGAAAGCACTGGACAACCACAGCGCCCTTACTCAGTATATTAAGATTCTTTGTGAGCTATATAGAAATTTCACAACCAGAATATCACCATTCTACAACGATATTAACATCGACATCAAAAGAGAGACTAGGCAAGGCGATACAATCTCACTGAAATTATTTACTGCTACTCTCGAGGACGACAAGCGAATACTGGAACGAGGCAACACAGGACCGAAAATCGTTGGTCGGCAATTACACCATCTTCGCTTTGCTGATGAAATCGTTCTTGTAACACGAGACATTACCCAGGCGGAAGATACTAGGAGTATCCCATGTCACGTAAAGGAGCGGACCCGAATCTTCGATCTACGTCAACGATCAAAAATCAAAGACAACGTTCTATATGCTAAACTGCCGAAGATAACGTGGGACAGACACGTAATATGTATAAATGACAACGTACAAACAAGAACCGTTAGTTCTTCAATACATCAAACGTACTGCAGCAGGATTGCGACTTGATTTCCAGAGTTTCTCACGGAAACCGCAGAAAATATGATGCTCAGTGAGTTCCTAGAGCGAACAGATTCCTCTGGGTTATTATTGCACATGACAGGAAAGATGGAAGATTTACTAGCACCCGTTCGAGACACTCGAGGATCAAGGGGTCGATAGGCGATACAAGTGATATCTATACACACATATATACATATATGTATATATATACATATATATACATATATATGTAACGGTACCGCCATTCACGATTTCTAGTAAGGGAGCTAAATCTACAGAGCTACGCATGAAAAATGTAGAAATAAAAAACTAGGCAAAGTTAGCGCAAGCAAAGTCTAAAACTCACCATTTGTCGCGAGCGTGTTCTCAGAACATTGCCACCATTCACAGAGAAAATTGGATCCCACTCTCCAGAATTAATGGGCTTCTGCCTTCGATGCTGTGGAACAACCATTGGCGTCGTTGAAGGTGGAATGCGTATCAATTGTGACCAATCGTGAGTTGAGCGCGAGAAATTTTTATTGAATATTGGATTAGCCTTAAATTTCAAAGCAAATCAATAACTTCTAAGAAAACGATCCATCAAGATCATTAGTTCATTAAAGAATCTACATATTAGGTCCACTTGAACGGTATAAAATAGCACGCAATCTTCGATAGTTTTAACCGAATCAATTGTGATAACGAATGCATTAAATCGCCTCCAGTCATCAGTTTCTGGAATATTCCTCATATCACAAAGCAAGAACTTAGGTTGGGGGTTTAATTTAGTTATTTAACACAAGTGACGACGCGTAATTTTCTGCTTTACGCTCTTCGGTTTCAATAAATGTCATGGCCAGCACATTTTCCAGTGAACAATTCACTCCTCTTATATCCCTTTTTGTTCTCTACATCGTTTCTACGTGTTTCAGTTGTCATTTCTATGTCCTTTATATCCCATTTCTTTTATTTTTCATCATTTTTGAACAAGTCTAACTTTTCTACGCAGTAAAAAAGGGGAACAAATCTCCAATATCCAGGCAAACACATTAACGTCAGCATTTGGTAAGACCTTATATGATACGTTGAGCATATTTTAGGGTTTTCTAAATTCTCTTTTCAATATCCTCCCATTTCTTAAAATAACCACGACTCATAGTGGGTGGAAATGAAACAACAGTTAACCATTTGAAAAATAAAAACTTACATGTTTACACGTACAGTGAACATACATTCTCGATATTCCCGACTACTTTCTAATAAATAGAGCTACTGCTGCTTTAGAAACATTAGGAAAGACTTGCAAAAGATACTTTACACTATAGTTGTACAAGTATATAAGTTATTATATATTCCTTCCTTCCATTCGACAACCACGATTACACAGATTGCAAACGACGAAACCTTCTAGGAATCTAAATATGGATGAATAGGTGTTAGCGTGAGAAAATCTGTTAGACGAAGAATGACATTCGCATACTGATAACTGGTACACTGGCCTTTTAGGGCAGGAAACGCTTCAAAGAATGACGCATATAGTCGCAAATTGGTACCAGACTTGTCCGGAAGGATGGTTCGACACATCAGTAGGCCACCATGTAAAGGGTAGATATGCATTCAATTACCTCCAACGATATGAAGTCGAATGCATGGCGCATCCTACAGGGACTAATCACCGTCGACAGGTTCTTATTATTCTTATCCCTTTATCAGCGATGCTAGACCAACGAGTAACCCCGTTCCAAATAAAAGCTCTAGCCCACCATTATTGGGACTGCACCATAGGAGTAAAATTTTTCAACTATCACTTACGACACAGATTTTTTATGGGACTTCACTTCAACAACTTCCGTACGGGTCCCAACAATTCTCGTTTTCGATTCGTTTCCTTCATCCGTCATCCACGATAGTCCTCAAACTTTTCGAATGTGGGTTCAACTCCTGATTGAGGACTTTCCTTCCATCATTGTTTTCGCTTAATGCTCAACAAGACGATTCTCTTTGGAGCCGTGAGGTTGCCGCGTTGCAGCTTTCCCATTTGGATTGCTGAGAGTCAATTCTACCATAGAAGTCCGACACTAGGGGCGCGTGTGGTGCAGTGGTTAGAAGCGCCACTGGGATACACACGTGGAGTCGATCCCGGCGCCCAAGGCCCGCCAAGCCTTCCATCCCTCTGGGGTCTGCAAATTGCTACCAGACTTGCCTAGGAAGATAGCAGCACTGGCTTTTCGGTAGGCCACCGTCAATCATTGTAAAGACCAGATAAGCATTCAGTCACCTCCAACGATACTTAATAAAGTCGAATACACGCCGCATCCCTCAAGCATCAACGCCGAGAGCTTTTAAAGCTTTATACAAGGCCAACACCAATTTCCCAATCAAGGAGGGCTAACAGGCTTTGTGTGGCGGAGCGGAGTCTAACCAACACCGTACCCGTGATGTTCGGCTTCACTACCACTGTGCCGTTCGCGTGTATGGTAAATGAAGTTTAGCTTATTTTAGCTTACCATATATACCAATAGGAAAAAGAGTCCAACAAAGCGGCACCGTTTCAGCGACGCAGTTTACTACGCCATTGGGGTGGATAGTGAAACAACTCACAGACGAGAAGGCTATAAATAACGAGGGAAGATTCCCATCAAGTCTGTTTTCTGACTTCACGTCTTTGTCATCTTTTCAACAAGTGCCAATGAAGTAGAGATAAATATCAATGAGCTCATTAAAATAGGAAAAAAGACCGGGTTACGCATAAGTCGGAGAAAGAACCAATTCATGAAAAACTATGGTATGAAGGTGAGAAAATCGTTTAGAAGGAGTTAAACAGAAGATAGGAAGCACCCTATTTGGACCCCTCAAAAAAGTGAGCAACTAAATAGAGGATTCGAAATGCCACGCTTGCCGCTTATCTCGCTTTTTCAGCAAAATGCCCCTTCTGGTGATCCACTGGTGGACTTAAGACGTAGGCTGGTACTTGAGCTATGTCGAAAATGCTACACACTACTCTCAAAGCGCTTGAACATTGTCTTCTAAAATATTGCCCTCATATAACATATAGCCTGCTGAATTCGAATTTCAGATCTTCAAAGCATATCGCACTTTCGAGATCCACTAGAACGCACTTCGATAGCGAAACTCAGCTGACCTTGGCATATAATACGAAGAATAGACAACAAATGGACGGAAAAACTATAGACTAGACTCCATGAGGATGTAAACTTCCCCTGAGATAAATACCTACACGGGAGATGAACTTGCTTTCAACTAAACTCATTCAGCTGTATTCACAGGTATAGATGCTTTACAGATCACGGTAAGACACCACATTCGAAGCAATCCACCATAACTTTATGTATGACAGTTTCAAAGCGAAGGAACGAAGGGAAAATGTGATGAGGTCCACGGCACTTGTGCTGACTGTCTGTTTAGGTATGCAATTAGGTAGTCACTAATAGTGTACGGTGGATTCGCGGAATTTGTTGCAAGGACGTCCAAAAACACCGATAATTGAATTCTTGATCCACTCCTTATCCCCGTATTCCAGAAAACATAGTGCTTGGCGATCTACGTACTCAATAAGCCACATCACTGAAATGACCCAAAAAACATGATATATAAAAAATGTTGCTATAAGGATCTATTGCATAGGACTACAAATCTCCGCATGAAGCTATCAAGCCTGTTGACACTACATGTAGCTAGAGTAATAATATTTCAGTACCGCAAGGTGATTATGGCTCATTCGAGAAAGATGCTCAACTGAGGAAGATCCTACTCGATGCGCAGCGAAGACGCTACCACGAGAACACGAACAACTGTGGACCATCGACTCGGATCGCAGTCTTTGATGAAGCCGAAACCGTCGAAACGTTAACCAAATAGACCTTGTTGTCAACCTCGTGTAAGCGCAACAATTTATCCACATGACAATCTTTCTGTTTAAACTTCCAATAATGCCTACAATATGTGCCATATTGTGAAGTTGAAGACTGATTGTATCGATTGTAAAAATCATGTAAAGTGATCAAATTGTGGAGACTATATGTTATATATGCTGTAAATGATATTTAAAGATGAGGAATTGTGAGAATTGCAGATTCTATTATAATTCTATTATAATTCTAGATTCTATTTATAATTGACCATGCGATCTATTCCTAACAAGATGTCCCTCAGTGCGGAGCTTCAGTGCCGAAGTACAAAGCGGAAACCACTGTACTCCGCTCAAAAGCAAAGTGTCTGCTGATGACAGAGTACCTTCCACAGCCTTGCGTCGACGAAATGGACCCGCCCCAAAAAATACGGGGTTTTTTTTTAGATTACATCTGTAGAGAATAACTTTCTATAGAAGACAACTGTTATAACTGTAGACGGTTGGCTATCGACTGATCAAAAATAGCGTACGAAAAAGGGTTGTCTGCACCAAGTAACCTAACTGAGAGAAAAAAATCCCTACAAATAGTTTATGCCTCAGTTTTGTAAATTCATCTCTTCACTTCAAAGAGACTAAAGCACTAACAAGTTGATATTGCAGAGAATGATGGTTTAACACCTTCTCCAATGATGTCCCATCTGGTTTTACTGCCAGTCTCCTGTTTTCATTGAAAATCATACCCTAAACACGTATGTAAAATAACATTGAGACAAAAGAAATACAAAGAAAAACGATTCGATCCCATTCTCACGCACCTTGTAATGACAATTTTCGCATTTTCCTGAATGGAGAAAGCCAATTCGACGACGACGAACATCCGTTGGGCGAATAGCCTTTCGTGCCAAACGTTTCCATTGATGGACGCGCTGTCTTTGCATGGGAGTGAAAGCCTGACATTTTACGAAAAATTCTAAGCTTCATAAAAGGACCGATAAGATACACGAACCTCGTTATTGCACAGTTTATCAAAGATTGTGAAAAGCATCATTAGGTACTCGTACTCAATATCCATTGGTTGTCTTCTAGATACGAATACGGCTCTTTGAACTTCACCAAGTAAATTGAAGATCAGACCAGGAACATTCTGAAGTTATGTTCCAGTGATTCAGCACCACATTCGACATGTTTAAAGTCTCGAAATTAACCTGATCGCTGATACATGACAGGGGTGCAAAACCGTCGATCGTATTAGAACTCTCACCAGCAACAGGCTTATATGGAATCATCGGCGCAGCAATCATTTGGCGCAACGACGCAATTGCACAACGCAAACATCGTTCAGGGTGGGATAACGATAACTTCTGAAAAAAAGAAATTTACAAAATCTAACTGCTTCTACCTCACAACTACTATATAGATCATTTTAAAAGTTACTGAAACAGAATAATTTAGGCCTCATTGTACCTCATGCATTGCTCGCAAATCAGCAGCTCGGTTACGGAGCTTTTGTATGGATTGTAGGATTTTCGTACGCGCCCCCTTCGTCACATTCCTTCTTTCGAGTTCGGCCTCATCAAGAGCCATCATTTGCTCATAACTCAGTTCAGCGAACATAGCAGTGTATTTGTGAAGGCGAAGAGACTTCAGCCATGCAGGAACATCTTAAAAGGATACCACTAATGTTATGGAAAAATTTATAGTGGAAGGAACATCTATTAAAGTGTAGTGAAAAATTACAATGCTAAATAACCTGCGACCAGATGGGATCGCCATTCAGGTTAGATCGTAAATCACATGCAGAATGATAAGTTTTTAATAATTCAACAGCAAACATTGTTAAGATGTTATAATCACAATACCCTGCCATTAAAAAGGGTAGGCAGTAAATAAAAAGGTTAAGATTGTGATTATAACCACAGCCTCAGCTTAAGTGGACTCCTTGCCAATTTTGGCTCCCCAGATCAAACCCGTCGATGGGTGATTGCTGATGAAAGTGATCGATAGAAGTAGCTGAGAGACAGGCGAAACGAAGGACCCGCACGGTGTGGTGGTGAACGCGTTAGCCTCAGAAAGCGCTCGTTCCGCACCACAGACGCCTGTAGTCCGGAGTTTTGCAAATATCTCAAGATTACTGTGGTTATATTTCATATCACACCCCGTCAAGTAAAAAGAATAGACAGCAAATAAAACGTGACTATATTGTTAAGATCGTTGCTGATGGTGTAACCAACAAAAACTCGCGTGTTATTCCTCTGCAAAACCTTTTTAAAGCAGTTCTGTAAAGGTGTTACAGATGAAACCGTTGATATATAAATAAAAAAGTAAGCATACTTACATAAAAATAAACGAAGCTACCTCATAATAGACGAGTAACTTTATCCAGAAAACAATTCCTGGATCTATCAGTAGTTTTTGAAGCATTTCGAATGAAGAAATGGTTAACAACTCCAAGTTGAGTTTAGCGCCAGTTTTCGCAAAGCGCAGTAATGAAAAGATGCTATTCTTAGAGTAGATCATGCCCGAAATATTTACTTTAACTCGGCCACATTTTCATCAAAGTTTACATTTCTTCGCATAAGCAGAGCCCTAGATCGCTGTACTACGTAGCTGTTCTTCAATCCTTTAAATATCCTTAGGAAACATATAGCGGATGTAAGTAACACATAAAACAGGCACAACTAGGAGACTATTGTGTGATGGACATTGGATTTTGTGATTTAAAAGACGAAGCAATCAACTATTTCGAAACACATTTGTTCATGTTTTTGAAATAAATTAGATAACAACAAGCGTTGTAATAGTGTGAGACGCCTTGTAGTTTTATATCATTCCAACTGAGGACGAAAGCAAGTTAAGAGACTAGTTGGACAATAGACACTTGAATGGACCGTCCTCAATGGTTGCAGGGGCCTTTGCAAACCTCCACTTTCAGGAGTTTTACTGGCTTAGCTATCGTGTTTCTTGGAATTCCAAGGTAAGCCCGGCCAATATCTGCACCAAGTCTTCACCACCTCAGGAAGTCACAGCCCTTGTGGATCACAGAGAGATTTGGCACCATACGACTTTGATAACCAAGACGGTGGTGGATCCTGCTATTGGTTTACTCTCAACTAGGCTTCCTGCTGGAAACGTTGGACTCTGTCTCGGCTTGGGAGATCCTGTCAGGGAATGGATAAATCCCCCTGCTGCTCATCGCAGGCTGGCACCCAAGAACACTTCCAAGCCACGATTAGTCGGCAAACCGTTGTGAGGTTAAGAGACTAAGAGAGATTAAATGAAGCTTTCGCACTTATAGTTCTCTAGATTGCAATCCTACTGAAATTTGTCTAAAACTGACAGTGTAGAACATGGCAGCTTGTTAAGGAAAGCAGATTGAGGAATAGTGCAACTAATATTATAGTGCTCATTTTGCTACAGAACACCAGGGTTGCTTGTTCATGAACCATTTTCGAATAGTACGGGCAGGTGGTATAACGGAAAAGTCTTCGTACACAATCACAAAAAAATGAGTAATTTCTTCATGGAGAGGCTAGAAAAAAAATTCAGACTTCCTTAAATACGACGATTAACTTTCCACACTGCTACAAAATGGCAATGGAGAGGATAGCACTGTAGTACTGATTCCGGTAATCATGAGCACGGTGCTGGTTCAGTTCAGCTCCGGGCCCACCAGGCCTTTCTGTACCAGGCTTGGCAGGAAACAAATCACCCTTTGCAATCCTATCTCAGGACTCCAGATAGAATCAACCCCACCAGCAGTCCATCACATTTATAGTGAAACGAAGTTCCTCAAACAGCAGCCGAAGTCACACGTTAACAGTTGGAAGACCTTCGTTGATGATGGATGCGAGGAAACGAATCGAATGTGAGAAGCACTGCGATCCGCATATTAGATGTGAAGTCGGGTCATGTAAAATAAATAAAATAATAATAAAGTAATAACACACCTAAAATTTCTACTTATGATAGCACCTGTGGAAAGCACTTGAAAAGAGTTCCTTTCACTAAAAAAACTTAATAAAGCGTTCCATCAAAGCCTACTGTGTAATTTCATTTACAAGCTAGCCCAACAACAAATGACGGATACTTGCTAATAGAAGAAGTAACCCAACATTTAGTAATTAGAAAAATCGATGTAGTAAACCATGTGCTCACTGCGCCTGCGAAATGAAATACGTTCAACACAATGAGTGATTCCGTACTACTGTCCTTAAAAGACGCTTCTCATTCAATCCTTTAGGATAACGTAGATAGTCAATGAAATGTAAAAGCCAATAGTTCTCACCGAGAACTCACGACGTTGCTTTCAAAGGGTTCAAAAGGTACAGAAGGTACATACAGAACCAACTCTTCAAAGTATAAAATTTATTAAAAGAATTCAGTAGAAAATTTCAAAATATGAATAAACACCTTAGTTACAGAAATATATTGTAACAACACAATAATTAGAATGAAAACATATTTCTCTATGGTCGCGAGTGTAGCCGAAGACGCCCTGCAATACACATGGGATCGGTGCATGCACCCCACGCTCGACAAGCCTGGCATTCCTCCGGGGTCGGCAAATTGGCACCAGACAGGTCTGGCGGAAAAGTAGCCTGGCCCGAAACATCGGCTAGGCCATCGGGAGTCATTGTAAAGGCCGGATATGCATTCAGTAACCTCTAACGATGCTTTATGAGGTCAAGTGCATAGCGCATCTTTCAGGAAATGATCAACGCCAGGAGCTTCATCCTTTATCCTTTCATAGTCGTTGTAAATCACACTGCTCCCAACAGCTTAGCGCCTCATCGTGGCTGGCAGGTGTTCCTGGGTGTCGAACTGCGGTGTACAGCGGGGGACTCGTCCCCAGGGCAGGGTCTCCCAAGCTGAGAATGAGTCCGGGGTTTCTATCAGCAACCCTAGCTAAGAGTAAACCAATACTAGGATCCACCATCGTCCTGGTATCAAAGTCGCATGGTGGCAAATTTCCCTCTGATCCACAAGGGCTGGGAATGCCTCTGGTGGTGAAAAGCTGCGGCAGACTTTGGCCAGGCTGACCTCGGGATTCCAGAGAACCACGATGGCTTGACCAGCAAATCTCCGAAAAGTGGTGATTATGCTGGGATCCGCACAAGCAGTGAGGACGGGTCATTAAAGTATCGAGTGTCAAGTGAGTAAATCAAACTCGTCATGTAAAATCGCTACCTCCCACTTTGCACCTAACCTACGTACTCAATATTACGACGATTTTATCCATATTTATGAGTAAAGGGATAAATATAATTTTCACGAATACTGCAAAAATCTTCGCTAATTCTCAGGAGCATTATCCATTGGTTTCGATTTGAATAAAAATGATTATTAGAATACGAACACCATTTCGCAAATTTAAATGTCCCAAAACCCCAGCTCCTCCATCAATGTCAAGCAGCACATTTTTGTTATAAGAAAAAGTGCACTGTGATGTAGGAAATTCGTAAAAAGTAAAAAATTTCCAGAAGAAAATGGAAACGAACCGCGCATGCCCGGGTTCAGTGAGTCGAACGTGGGTGGCGTTCGAGAAGACGAGCACGATGTGGTGGTGGCAATGGTGGTAGTGGTGGTGGATGGAAGCGCTTCAAACATCGACATTTGCTGTTGACAAGGCAGCACACCATACTCTCTCAGTAACAAATGATCATTTGGTCTACCACGAAAACCACAGGACGCAAATCGACAAGCACTGCCTGCCTATAAAACTATGATAGATACAGTGGCGATCTAAACAAGCCAAAAAAGAATGAGGTCGTTCTCGTTCACCATGAAATAAGTTTATGCTGAAAAATTTTGAACGGTTGTCTAATTAACATACTTATTCGATACTTGAATGGCCCGTCCTCGCTGGTTGTGCGGGCTCCAGAATAGTCTCCATTTTTCGGAGGATTGCTGGTTAAGCCATTGTGGCTCCTTGGAAGGTCAGGCTGGCCAAAATCCGCCCCAGATCTTCACCACCACAGGCAGTCGCAGCCCTTGTGGATCAGAGGAAGATTTGCCACCATGCGACTTTGATACTAGGATAGTGATGGATCCTGGTAATGGTTTACTCTTAGCTAGGCTTCCTGATGGAAACGACGGATTCCCCCTCAGCTTGGGAGACCCTGCTAGGGAATGAATCCCTCGTTGTACATCGCAGTCCGACAACGAGAAACACCTCTCAGCCTCGACGAGGCGATAAATCGTTGAGGGAATTAACATAGCAATTGATCCGTTGTTGAAAACAATAGAAAAAAAAAAGGTAAAACTGACGTGCGAAAATGAAGCAACTGGCGGCAAACAGGGCACGGCACCAAATCGACTTTGAGTAAAATCTGGGATGCAGTCTACAGTATGTGAATCCAGCTGCATTAAGAGCACATCTGAAACAACAACATTCGGAAGACAAAAAAAGGCTCTACGGATATCGACAAACACTGACTGAAGAACTAAGAGCGAGCTAAGCTAAAACGTTAAGGATGACCATGGGCGAGAACATCGTATTGGAAAATCGATGAGCAAATTGTGATCTACACCATTTCTGAAATCCGCCGAAATTGTAACCACCATGGTTAGAAAATAATCGACTAGACCAGAACCTTTCCTAATAAGATATACGATTTAGCGGATTCTTACTATATAGCTTAGCTTAAGCAATCTGACAATGCATTGAGCACCGTCCAAAAGACCATAGATCAAGACCACCGCGACTAGTGAGTTTCGACAAATTCAGAAGTGCGTTGGTGGTCGATTAAAAGGCCAGACACTACATCGCCGTAGATTCCAAATGCAAAAAAAACACACACACACAGTCCCATAACTTTGCACTGTTATGAGGCTTAGTAACGGATTCAGTTAGTAGTGTAAGTGGACCGAAGCAGTCAGGCTACTAGAAGTCCATAAAACTGCTGTTGCTAGAAAGCCGTTTAAGATCGTATCAACTAGACAAATATGGTATCTAATTGCATGGGACTTAAATCCACCACAGTAGCAAAGATATTTTTAGACAATTCAAGAATGTATGAGAAATACGGTATACAAAACGGAAATGGAGCAGAGTGCAAT